CACACACAACAACAACAATAATAATAATAATAAGAAGAAGAAGAAGAAGAAGAAGAAGAAGAAGAAGAAATAACAACAATAACAATCATAAAACCAAGCAAAAATGATAACACTGACCAATTGCGTTGAGGTACAAATGTTATCCCTGATAAACAGCAGAACATTCATCATCTCACGTATATCCATCGAGTTCATCTGACTCGAGCGGCCTCTGTTAAACATCTTGTAGCAAACTGTTTAGAAGGTTTAAGTAATAATAATTTCAGTGGCGCAATGGCTAAAGTGCCTGGCATTGCTGTCACAGTGACCGGGTTCGCATGCAAAGAGATCCCAGTCCGTCACGTGTAGATAATAATCTGGCAATGAACAATGAAGGACGACCAACATTTGAACTGGTCAACGAGTGGACCTCGACAGCAGGCCGAAACACCGCAGACCATCTCTTTCATATCCATCTCGCCGTCATCATTCTCGTCCAATGCTTTAAACAGATCTGCAGAGAGACATAATAACCATTCATTTATTCGGTAATCCATTCATACGTTCGTTCGTTCGTTCATTCATTCATTCATCATTCATTCATTCATTCATTCATTCATTCATTCATCATTCATTCATTCATTCATTCATTCATTCATTCATTCATCCATTCATTCATAGTTGAAGAAACGGAGGTCATTCAATTAATTTACATTTATAATAATTTGAAAGATTTAAAAGGAGAAAAACGCAAGATGGAGGTAGGTGACGTACATCCGGCCAACTGGTCATTGAGTGGGGGCACAAGGACCTTTTTGAAGACCTCAATGTCGAGGCTCGAACTTTGACCTTTCAGTAACCAAAAAACTTTTTCTATGTCCATGACGTCAGTCTCTTCCACTGTAAATTGAAATGAATGAAACGAACAAACGAACGGATGAATGAAACGAACGAATGAACGAATGAACTAACAAATGAATTAATGAATGAACGAATGAATGAACTAACGAATGAAAGAATGAATGAACTAACGAATGAATGAATGAAAAAAAATGAAAGAATAAGAAAAATGACAAAAATGACAAAAGCGCAACTCACAATGCGTGACACCGGCTAGAGTCTGATAGAACGTAGTCAGAGAAACATCATTACTATAACTCAACGAACAGGGATGATGACGATGACGAGGCGATGAAGTCATTGACGACGATGATGATGATGGGGTATTCAGTAGCCAATTAGATAATGATAAACATGACGAGTGCTTCTTTACCCATGCTCTGAACTGCTCGAATGTTATTTCATCGCCCTCAAAAAATAAACAAAAATCTCTTAAATTAATTATTTGCAATAATAATAAGAATAATAATAACTATAATTATTTGCAATAACAATAAAAATAATAATAACTATAATAAATAAAAATAATAATAACTATAATAAATAAAAATAATAATAATAGTAGTAGTAATTATTCATAACCTAATAATAATCAGAACGGTCTTTAAAAGAAGCAGATGTTATTTCAATGCATAGCTTAGGATAATTATGATAATAAATATTAATAAAAATAATGATGAGATGATTCAAGAATTCAAAGAATTCAAAGAATTCAAGATTCAAAACAAAAATAACAAATAATAACAAAAATAATAATAATAATAACACACATCTCTAAAGAGTGTGGTTATTTCATTGGGTAGATAGTCCTCAGTTTTAGACACGGTGATTTCAAATTCTCGTTTCTTGATGACGTTGTAAGGCTCGCTGGAATAAAATCCAAATAAAACTGGAGAGAAAATATAAAATAAATAATTAAATGGTAAATTATTTATTCGATTAATTTGTTGTTAGTGCTTCTAAAGAAAATTGAAGAGAGATTTTTAATAAATAATAATCAGTTGATTATCTCTCTCTTTCTCTCCTCTCTCTCTCTCTCTCTCTCTCTCTCTCTCTCTCTCTCTCTCTCTCTCTCTCTCTCTCTCTCTCTCTCTCTCTCTCTCTCTGTCATTTTTCCTCTATTCTTCTCTCTCACTCTCTTAATCATTATTATTCTAGATTTCAAGAAAAAAGATACTACATGCATTTTATTAATTGTTTTATTAATTGTTTTCTTTCTCCCATTTTTCCTCCCTCTCTCTCTCTCTCTCTCTCTCTCTCTCTCTCTCTCTCTCTCTCTCTCTCTCTCTCTCTATCAAATAAATGTAATATATAAAATAAATGTAATACAAACAAAAACCAAAAACCAGAAAAATGACTACATACACTTGATTCTTTCATCTTCAGTACCATCTGCAATAAGAACAACAGCACACAAAAATTCTTTAAAGGCCATTCCTTTGCTAGTAGCACCAAATTTTTCAAACAAATGCTTGAAACAAATATTTTTTTGAATATGTTATCTTTAATAACATATTTTGGAATTCATTTAAACTTATAGTAATTTAAATTTTAAAAATAAATTAATAAAAAGCAAATACAAAAAATCTTATATTTCCATTAAATTCATTAACAAATATAAAAATGAACAAAAAAAGACAAAAACTTCAGCAATAGACAGCGGAACATAACTCCCCAAAACATCCCTGATGAAAGAACTTTTTGATAGGTAACCATTTAGGGTTGAAAATTTCCTAAACGTGTCTTTCAATCTTTTTAACTTATTTTCAGATACTTGATTTTGTTTAATTTAAATTTTGAAAGTACATTTTGTTATAATTAATAAAAAAAAAAAAAACCATTTTAGTTAGTCACATCTAAAAATGGTTAAATTGTGGTTTAATTTAATTTTAGGTTTATTAGCTTAGTTTAATTAACATTAACTTTAGTGTTTTTAATTAATTAAAAAATTAATTAATCAATTAAAATTAACTTTTCATAAAAGCAATATAATCATAAAAAATTATATAATAAAAATATAAAAAAAAATAAATATAAACAAATAATAGATCAGTAACTCAAATTTAAAAAAATTAAATTTTGAAAAGTTAAGTAAATTATCATTATTTATTAATAATATAATAATTAAAACAAAAATTAGTAATTATAATATAATTAATCAATTATTATATTACTATTACTGACTTCTTTTTTGAGAATCTTCATAGGATAAATAGGAGAGCTTAGAATCTTTCAAACCCATAATCTTTTTCATCCAAAATTAAAAAAATAATAAGCTAGCAATTAGCATTATTTATTAATTAAACATTTTTTGGGGATTATTGTACACGATCGGAAACTTCAATTAGAGATACCAAAGTTTAATTCTGTTTACATTTAATTAAAATATGATTAAAAGTGCATTGGGGCATAAAATGCAAATTATAATCGTAGGAATTGAGCTATAGCAACAAAATCTGAGGTTGATTTGGAGACATTAGACGTCTAACAACATTCTTGTGTCGAAAAAACGACGCGAATAAAAGCCAAACAATTTTTAAGCATATGTTCATTCATTGTTAACACTTTTTAAAAATTTTGAAAAACTTTTGGCATGACTTAAGCCAGCCTATAAAAAGTTCAAGTACAAAACCAGGTAAATATATTCTGTACGCATATATCAGTATAAAAAATGCCTCAAAATGGTTTCTGAAATAACAAAAATAATTATTATACAAGTAAATCAATTATAACAAATAAATAGATAATTACAAATAGATACTTTATACAATTTAACAAGTGAAGCAGATAAATATTTGTGATTAGTTTATTACCTACTGTGGACATATTTGAATAAAAAATAAATGAACGAACGAAAGAATGAATGAATGAAAGAATGAACGAACGAAGGCGTGAATGTATGACAAAAACAAATTAATAAATGATGAAATCAGTGAATGAATGATACGTGAATGAATAATAAAATTATCAAATTAATTATCAATACCAGTCATTATATATGTATGTATATAAGTATGCATGTATGTGAATACATACATCATATGTATGTGTGTATTTATGAATAATTATCAATGAACAACCCAATTCTAATTATCTGAATAATAAAAATAAAGAGAAAAAAAAATAATAAAAGAAAGAATAATTGTAAAATAATTAGGCAACATAAAATAAATACATTTTCACATCACTAGACAACTGGAGTTTTCTGTTTTCGGTACTATTTCATTCCTATTACAAAACTCGCAGACATCTCCACTCAACTTTTTAATGTAACTCTTCCCTTTGTAAGTCCAACAGTCGACAACTAGATGTTCTTCTTTTAATTTCAGGGCCTGATTGTAAACCTCTTCCTGTGGATCTGTTAAATATTCTTTGATTGTGATGCCCTGACCTCTCTCATGGGATAGGGAGCCAGTCAGGCTTTTACTCCTGAAAGACAGCCAGGCTTTGTAAATGTGAGATTGAGTTTTGTAGCAGGTGAATGTAACTAGCAGTGGTCTAGGTCTTGCCAGCTTCACTTTATCTGGGGTGGCATTTCCTGGTTTTTCCTCCTCACCTCTGCTGATGATGTGCAGATTCTCAATGTCTAAATCAGTGATGGGCACGTTGAGGACTGAATTTACAAAAACAAGTAGCATCTCCATCGCTGAAATGTCCTCCTTAGGACATAGGTTCTCAATTATCAAAGAATGTTTCTTAACAAACTTCTGAACATCAGAATCAAGGCGATAGACAATCTTTGAAAGTGAGTTGACATGTGCAGTAAACAAATCAAATTTTGTATTCACCTTAGTGAAATCAGCAGTTAGTGCATTCAGCTGGGTATTTAATACTACAATTGGTTCAGGTTCATCATGACCTGCTATTGTTTTTTGGTCTCCTTTCTCATGCTTTTCGTTCATTCCACTGGTGACCTGATTTTCATGAATGCCAGAATCAGTCTGTTTTAAATGTGTCTTCACAAGAAGTGAAATTTCATTTTTGAATCTATTATTTTCTTCCATTTGTGACACATACAACTTTCGTAACTCTTCGTTCTTGTTTCTTAGTTGTGTGACTGTGCTTTCGAGAGCTGATATTTTGTCCTCTAAGTTGCAACATGAGTTTTGTTCACAGAAATCTTCTGTGTTACATATGTTACTGTTGTCAACTTCTTCCTCTTGTTCGTCTGCTGTTCTTCTTGTCACTGATTCTGAAATCGTGGTAAGGCCGCCTGATGATGATGACAGGGCGGTCTCACTGAAACCGGCTTCCTTACACAGGGAACGAGTCGAAAGATTTAATTCCATAATAATTTTTCATGAATTAAAATAAAATTTCATAATTTATATATATATTATATAAATACTTTGCAAAATGTTAAAAATTCTAAAAAAATTGGTAAAATTTGATTATTTTATTTACTCACACACGACGAAATTAATGATTAAAAGGGAATTCAAATTAGAATTTAAACATTACTATGTAAGAAACTTCTTACTGTGGAATAAATTTCAATGGTACTTCAATGTTTCATCCGTGTAGAATTGAATATGAAAAAGAAAGTATTTTAATCGAAATATAAACGCTTTTTAAACTTTATTTTATACTATTTTGTAATATTTTCAAATAAAAATTACCCAAATCATGGAAAAATTCATAAATTAAGCGAAGAATGTAATTATCATCATGATATTCAATGGTTATCATATTCATTTAATGGCTATCGGTTACGAAATCAAATTTTTGGATGATCGAAAATAAATTATACACAGAATTTGTAATAAAATTTATTTAAATAGTAAATTTTTGGAATAAGACTCTATAAAACACAATCTGGCAGAATAGTTTTTGAGTAAAGTAATTAAAGTTTTCCATTCTAATTTCTTTTGCTAGCGCGTTTCTATAGAAACTCATTTAAATGGCGCGTTTTTTATAAGATTTAAATTAAAATAAAAGAATGTTCCCAAAAAACAGTTCAAAGAAAGTGAAATCCGGAGTTAGGACTATTAATTTATTCTAAATATTTTTTAAATTAATAAATATATACAGATGCCTATGAATTAATGGTAAATTTGAATTTCAGACAACAATAATTGCCATGAAATATGATTCCGGAATCATTCTGGCCGGAGATTCTAGAGTTACCATTGAGTAAATGATATTCCATTCACTAACCTAATTTTAAGAAATTAATTAGCAGTGTATTGTACAAGAATACCTAATTCATATATTACAAAAACGAAGAATAGTTATGTAAAAATTTAGGATGAAGACTATTCACTTCGTTATTATTGTATTGAATAATTTAATAATTAGTTACACACCAAATAAAACATTATTCCATTATTTCTTTATTTCATTTTTCAGAGATGACATTATAAATAGGTTTGCGGATAAGATAACGAAAATACGTAAAAATGTATTCTGCTGTCGTTCCGGCGCTGAATCCGACACCCACGCCATAATACAAAGGGCAACGTTTCATCTGTCCTTGTTGAGGTGCAGTTTTTAATATTACAATTATAGCGCTGTGTAGAGGTTAAAGTTCAAAGGTCAACCTTTCTTACAAAGCATTAGCCTATACTATAGTGACGTAATGTGATTTTTTATTTGGTTTTTATGTTATACAATATGGTGTTATAGTCTATTCATTTATGACTAAATTTATTTATTCAAATTCACGTTTATACGTATATTTTTATCTTCATAGTTTGGAATCAAATAAAGAACCTCCAATAAAAATGGCGGCGAATTTATTCCACGAACTATGCTACAAAAATAGGGAGAGCCTGGAGTGTGGGATAATTTGCGCCGGATGGGATGAAGTTGATGGATTTCAAGTAACTATCCATCCATCGAATTTAACTCAACTATCCATCAATGATTTACAGCACAGATATAATTTTTGTAAAAATTGTTGTCAAAATTAATAGTAATAAACTTAAAAATCGTTTTTACGTTCTGTAACTCCATCCGACTGAAGTTTTTTTTAGTTAGAGAAGCTCTGCTGGGCTGGTATTATTCAAGCGTTTTAAAATTCAAATAGATATTTAGTTTTCATTATTAAAAACAGTTATTTCTAAATAATATTTCTAATAATTATTATTATTATTATAATAATTATTATAATAATTATCATTATTATTATAGATTTATGATATCCCGTTTGACGGGATGTGCGTAGCTCAGCCATATGCCGTTGCTGGCTCAGGCAGCCAGTACGTAAGTTCCTATGTTGATTTCCATTTCAATGGCGAGAATATGAGTAGAGAAAAGTGCATGGAATTGTCTACTAATGGTGCCTACCTAATTTATGATTAGTGATCAGTAGAAACATATCGTTGTCTGATGCTGTCGTAGTAGTTGTTGTTTATGGATGTTGATTTTTGTTTTATTCAAAGGGTAGGGAAGACCGACGTGATAACGATAGAGATGTTTGGAGATGCTGATTAATGATACCACCGCCCAGTAGCGGATCTAGACAACTTTGACGGGGGGCCAAAATTGCTCACAACGGGGGCATGGGGCCCCCCTTAGATCCGCCACCGCCCTTCTTTTTGATGATGTTCAGTGATTAGTGTTGTGGTTTTTTGATGACGTTTTTGAAAGTATTTTGTTATTTGTTGTTGTTTCGATGGTAATCTCTGTTATCGTTTGAATTGTTTATTAATTTTATTATTATTAATTTTATTATTATTAATATTATTATTATTGATATTTTATTTTTTCCAATTTAGCTGTCACCCTGGGGATACATCGAGACGGATCGAGTGGAGGCGCGGTCAGGATCATTGACGTCACCAAAGATACGCATGATTCAAAGATCTTATACCACGAGCAATTATTAAAATTTTCATCTTACGCTATATAAATTCGAATTTATTGGCAATAAATTTTTTTTTTTAATTCCATTTATTCACAATATTCACACGGATATGTGTGTGTGCCTTTCTGCGTTCAAGTGTGTGTATGTGTGTGTGTGTGTATGTATGTGTGTGTGTGTTAAAGCATTACAGACATTGCATGTTATGTGAATTTTTCAAAATTATAAGAATAGTCATAATAATAATAATTTTTTTGAAATTATGTAAAATTTACGTGATGGCTGAAAAAGGTTTTATAACGTCTATAAAATTCCTTAAGCAATGGCGCCTATCTGATAATAATAATAATTGTGATGAGGATAATTTATTGATATACGATTGTATGATATCTATGTTTATGATACCGAATATGTGAATGATAGCAGTAAGAAATGTAAAAAATACTATCTCAAATGCAAATTTTGTGTCAGTGTTTATGCGTATGTGTTTTTATATGTGTGAGCGTTTGTATATTATTGTGTATGTTTATGTTTGTCTGTGTGTATTTATAACGTATGATAATAAATTTATATATATTATATACGGAGATGTGTATAATCGGGCTGTATGTTTGCATGTACGCTTGTGTGTTTGTATGTGTGTTTGTATGTGCGTTTGACACAAATAAACAACGATACAAAATAATATTCAAATATATTCAGAAGTGCTTGTTTGTTTCTGGTGAATCAATCGCTCAAATTAAAACGTTATTCACCATTGAAAGCACTTGGTGACCAACTGTGTGTGTGTGTGTGTATGTGTGTGTGTGTATGTGCGTGTGTGTGTGTACGTGTCGGTTTGTGTGCGTGTGTGTGTGTGTGTCATCAATGAATTTTTATTCGAAAAACAAAATGCAAACAACTTACATAATCGGGTGCGTGAACAAACTGGGATATTTGGATTCACGTGAAATAGTCGCCTCTAACCAACCAATACAGCATATTGTGCGTGCGTGTGTCTATGAATGCGTGTGTTTGTGTGTATATATCATTATAATGTGGTTTTAACCTGGGCTGTTTTTTAGCAATGAAATTATGTATAAATAAATGTATGTCTGTTTGTATGCTAATGTATGTATGTCTGTAAGAAATTATGTATACATAAATATATGTGTGTTTGTATGCTAATGTTTGTGTGAATGTATGTATGTATGTTTGTTTGTTTGTTTGTTTGTATGTGTGTATTTATGTATGAATGTATGTAAGTAGGTATGTGTATTTATAGAGTTGTCTACGTTATTAATAATTAAAAATTGAAAAAATTATACATTTTGTTTTTGTTGGTAGAAAATGAATTTTCGGAAACACTGGTTAGTTTTTATTGTATGTATGTTTGTTTGTTTGTATGTGTATGTGTGTATTTATGTTTGTTTATTTGTTTGCATGTGTATGTTTGTACGTATGGTATGGTATCGTATGTATCTATGTATGTTTGCTAGTTTGCATGGCTAAATCTATAAATTTCGAAATATTTATTTTGTAAAATACAATACAACAATACAAAATTTTAATTGATTTAATATTCTAAATTAATATTTAATATATATATGAAATTTGTTTATACTGCAATAACGTGAAATAAAATTGCCACTAAAAAGTAATGTTTTTATAGATTTATGTGTGTGTGTGTGTGTGTATGTGTATGTATGTATGTGTGTGTGCGTGCGTGTGTGTGTGTGAGTGCAATAACATCATCAACAAACTGCAGCATCACAACCAAAAACAACAACACAGTCACCAACAGACATCATAATCGCATCATAACACACCAATGACATTAGCGCGGAACATTAATTAACCTAGACAATTGTTGTAACAAGCCAACAGTAATATGAAACACCATTCTTTTACACCTGACCTCACACACACACACGCACACGCAATAATATTCACATACATCGACACACATATATAGAATAGATCCCGTCTGAACAATCACAATTTTTACATTCGGTAATACACACATTCACAAACATACACAGACACACACACGTGCACTCACACACACAAACATACACACACATACACACACACACACACTGTGATAGGTGTTAAATAATAAATATCTCAAAAAAAGGTCATCCAGACATCCAAACACATACAACAATCAGTCAATAAATCTCTTTGATGGGATAACAATGAAAATAATAAGATGAAAAATAAAAATAACAACAATAATAATAATGAAAAATTTTAACTTGAATTATAAAAAGTAAATCTATAGAAACCACGCCTTAACTTATGCTTATTATATTTATATATACCATATATACAATATATATAATATATAATCCAGTATATATACATACATATATATATATATATATATATGTTCATACATATTTTGATTGTATGAGTATGAATATTGTATGAATTGTATATATAAATATATATATATATATTTATATATAAATGTATTGTATATAGGTTCATACTTGTTTAGATTGTATATGTATATATATATATATATATATATATTTATTTGATATATATATATATATATATTTGATTGATCAATTTATATATATATATATATATATATATATATATATATATATTTATATATATAAAGGCGATCAACCGTTTATAAAAGCCAAATCATTTTCAGTATTTGGTTCTTGTGTGGTTTCATTTATTATTAGTAGTATTATTAATTTTTTTATTATTATAATTATTGTTTTGATTCTAATGATGTAGAAATGTTACTAGGATTATGGTGTTGGTTATAAGTAATTATGTTTTAATATTATATTTGTATATTATAATATAATTATATTAAATATTTCTTAGATATGATGAAGATGGATGACGATTAGGATGATTTTAATTGAATAGAGGATTCAATTTCTAAAATTTATAAAGCTGTTGTTTCACAATCAATCGATCAATCAATCAATCAAACAATCAATCAATCAATCAATCAACCAACCAATCAATCAATCAATCGATCGATCATTCAACCAATCAATCATTCATACATTCATTCATTCAATCAATCAATCAATTGATCATTCGATCAATCATACAATCAATCAATTAATTAATTAATTGATTAAATGAGTTTTTTAACTTTAGTAATTTAAATATAAATAACAGAGTGAATAACATTTTTTTTTAAATGTTCTAATCGCTGTTACTATGGTTGAGAGTTTTGTATACATTTCATTGAATGGCAATGTAACGAAATATCGTTACCACAAAGACATCAACAACAACAACAACATCAACAACATCAACAACAACAACAAAAGCAAACAACAACAGCAACAACAACGAGGATTACAACAACAACGTTGACAAAAAAAACATCAAAATTAACATCAATAACATCAACAACTAAAAATCTAACTGAATAAAACAACAACAACAACAATAATAATAATAAAAATAAAAATAACAACTGCGTCAGTACCAGCGTTCTTAGCAAATCCAAAATCTAACTAATGATTAGTCTCAATCACTCATCATTATTCTCCACCACAAACATCTTTAATAATAATAATAATAATAACAACAACCATAATTAATAATTGTCATAATAATTAATAACAATTATCAATTAATTAATAATAATTATTATTATTAATTATTATTTTAATTGGTTATAATTATGGAGATACACGTATCAAGATCGTTGGCATTTATACTGCTCGCCATCTACATTCTACCATTATGCTTATCTACCAGATGGCTGTGGGTTATTTGTTACTCTTTATAATAATATTTTTTATTAATTATTAATAAATAAATAATTAATAATATCATCAATAATATTATAACAAACATATAAACGTACACACAAACAAACAGACGAACGTACACATACAAAATGTACACACACATACAAAAAAAACGCCATTTTAATTTTGATGATGCTACTGGATGATAACCAGAAAACACCTTCAAGATTGCCACAGATAAAACATCGTTTGAAAGAGTATATAAACATTGGTGTAAGTGCAGCGCCAAACAAATTAAACCACACATACACACAAACATACACACACATATACATACATACACACACACACACATACATACATATACATACATACCAACAAATTGTATCACAAGTTTCATAATCGTTTTATTAATCATTGATTTGTGTGGTTACCATGAATTAAACTATAGTTTATGTTTGTTGATATCTTTTTCTCTCTTTTTTCTCACTCTTTCTCTCTCTCTCTCTCTCTCTTTCTCTCTCTCTCTCTCTCTTTCTCTCTCTCTTTCAGTTTCTCTCTCTCTTTCCAATTTTATATACACATATATATGTACTCAATACATCAGAACATAAACACGTATAAACACTGTCAAAAAGCACATAAACAGTTAACATGTTCAATATAGAGGAGATATAGACGCATGAATTTGTTTATATGTGTGTGTGTTTGTGTGCACGTGTGTACGTGTGCATGTGTGTATGTGTGTTTGTTTGTATGTAAGTTTTTGTTTGTGTGTGTATGTGAGATTGTCTGTATGTTTGTATGTTATAAAATTGATGCATTTACTGTATGGATGTGTATTTTACCTTCTAAAAACACATTTTATACATATATAAAATACAAAAATAAAACGTACATGCATAAAAACATACAAAGTTCATTACATACAAACAAACATACAAACAAATACACAAAAACACACGTGCAAACAATTTAACGAGACGATGAGAACGAATCCTAAAGTATGCGAAAAGAAAAATCATTGATGTTTTACATATGCCGTTGTATGTACGTTTGTATTGGTGTATGTTTGTTTGTATGTTTGTTTTTTGTTTATATGTATCCATGTAAGTTTGTGTGTGTATGTATGTATGTGTGTATGTATGTATAAATATATATGTACGTATACATGTATGTGTGATTTGTATATGTGCATGTGTGTGTTTACGTGTGTGTACGTATGTGTGTTTTTACGTGTGTGTGTACGTGTGTGTACGTATGATTGTTTTTATGTAAATGTACGAAGGCTTGAGAAATGGAGGCATGATGATTTATGGCCTCCGACTCTTAGATGATTGACGTATCTTCAACTTTCTCTCTATCATTGTTTATGAGTACGCCTCTCTCTCTCCCACTCTCTCTTTCTCTCTCTCTCTCACTCTCTGCC